TCATCAGTTGGCGCCGTCTGTGGGAACTTGGGACAGTTCTATTTAAAAAGGATTATGGTTTTACAATCCAGATTTGAGCGCGGTGAGGGAACATCGTTGCAGGCCTCTAGTGAAGAGGAAGTGCAGGGGGAACCCCCTCATATCCCAAATGACCCAGAGCGCGTCACAGCAAGTTCAAACCCTGAATTAGGGAATGAATGAGCTGATCCGGCAAAATGCGATGATCCTACAACGTTTTGTTCCCCCAGACCCACCTCTAGGGCAAGGTCATCATTATAACGAAATCCCACCTCAAGATCATCCTAGCTTAAATGCCAAGGAGGAAAATCATGAGGTGCAAGGCAACGAGCCTTCCCATGAGGAGGCTCTTGCAGAGCATAGCCAAATTGCTGATCAGCATAGGGTGGCAGGTCATCCATCTCCCCTACGTAGCTCTAGGCCATTAACCTCGACCTACATTGGTGAATGGACTAAGGAGGTCACCCACATTGACCTACAGATCCAGAACCTCAATGCCAAGATGGAAGATATGATGCAAGTTATGAAGGGAAAAAGCTCTGCTACCACCATAGACGACCTTGTTCAAAACACAAATCTGCCATTTAGCCTGACTATCATGAAATATCTATTGCCTAGCATGTTTAAGATGCTAACACTTGAGAGCTTTGATGGGACTCGTGATCCTCTTAATCACCTGGAGACTTTCCAGGCACTTATGCATCTCCAAGCTGTATCAGACCAGATAATGTGTCAGGCCTTTCCTACTACTCTCAAAGGGTCGGCACGGGTGTGGTTTAATAAATTAAAACCAGGCTCGATCAAGACCTTTATAGAGTTGAGCAAGGGATTTGTAAGTCATTTCATTATAGGTCAAAGTCACAGGAGGCCGGCCACTCACTTGCTCACCGTGAAGCAACAGAAGGGAGAACCATTGCGAGAGTATATCAACCGTTTCAACACCGAAATGCTGCAGGTGGATGAAGCCGATGACAAGGTAGCACTCACCGCCTTCATGGGAGGACTGCATACATCTAGATTCCTTTTTTCCTTGTTAAAGGAACCTCCAACCAGTATGGTAGAATTACTGGTCAGAGCCAAGAAACATATGAATACGAAGGATGCGATGAGTGAGCAAAAAAGGAAAGAAGGAGAAGATAAAAAGGCGGATAAAAAGAGATCACAGCCTAGTGCCAAGGACGAGAGGGAGACCAAATTCAAAAAGTCTTTAATCAATCAAAGTGAAAGGATATCTCATTACAGGAGCTCAGATAAATACACTAACTACACCCCGCTTACTATGTCTATAGATTAGGTTTTAATGTAGATTCAAGATGATCCCTCCCTAAAGTGGCCGTCGAAGCTGAAATCTGATCCCTCAAGAAGGCCTCGGGATAAATATTGCAGGTTCCACAGAGGTATGGGTATATCATAGAGGATTATATCGACTTAAAAGATCAGACTGAGAATTTGATTCGAAGGGGTCACCTGCGAAGGTTCATGGTAGGAGATGATAGACGAGGTACTAATCTCGCACAAGGAAGGCAGGACAATCGTCCACCAGAACAACAACCAGTAGGTGAGATCAGAGTTATATCTTGAGGGTATGCAGGAGGAGGTGAAATAGCCACGGCCCGAAAATCTTACGCAAGAAGAGTAAGAGCAGAGGTGAATGAGGTGGGAATGTCCAACTTTCTGTCAAAAACACTAAGGTATGGTGACACTACCATTATATTTTCAGAGGTTGATGCCAAAGGGATCCAGCAACCCCACGATGATCCTCTAGTTGTCTCCATGGTCGTAGTTAACTACACCATAAGGCGTATACTTATTGACAATGGGAGTTCAGCTAATATAGTATTTTCCCATGTATTCGACCAAATGATGATAGGCTGAGAAAGGTTACGACCCATGAATTCTCCTCTCGTGGGGTTTTTAGGAGATAAGGTATATATCCATTGGGAGAAGTTACCTTTCCAGTGATTGCAGGAACTAGCCCAAAGCAGGTCACTTTTATGGTTGATTTTATAGTGGTGGATAGAGTTATTACCTCAACTTACCACCTCCTCATGCGTTTCCCAACAGAGTATGGGGTGGGTGAGTTAAGGGGTGACCAAGCCATAGCTTGTGAATGCTATCTCACTTATCTCAAAGAAAAGATGTCCCAAGAAACTTTGATAATTAAAGGGTTAGAGGTAAGAGACCAAGAGGAGGTAGAAAAATAGAAAGTTCGACGAGCCAAACCGATGGAAGACCTACTGGAGGTGAGCTTGGATGATGAGGCTAAGAAGAAAGTGAGCATAGGATCCTTGCTTCAACCTGGCATAAAGAGTGAACTCATTCAATTTCTCAAGCAAAACCATGATGTGTTCGTTTGGACTCACGAGGACATGCCCGGCATAAGTCCAGCCATAATACAACATCATTTTAATGTTCATCCCAACTTTAAACCCATTAGATAGAAAATAAGGACATTCACCTCTGAACGAAACCAGGCTATATTAGAAGAGGTGGAGAAACTTTTGAGAGCTCACTTTATTCAAGAGGTACATTATCCTGACTGGTTGTCAAATGTGGTTCTCGTAAAGAAAGCCAATGGGAAGTGGAGATTATGTGTAGACTTTACAGACTTGAACAAGGCCTGCCTAAAAGATAGTTTTCCTCTCTCACGTATTGATATGCTGGTGGAGGGAACTGCGGGACATGAATTGCTGAGCTTCATGGATGCATACTCCAGATACAACCAGATTCCAATGTACCTACCAGACGTAGAAAAAACTTATTTATTACTAATCGGGGTTTGTATTGTTACAGGGTCATGCCATTTGGGCTAAAAAACGCAGGAGCAACATACCAAAGGTTAGTCAACATGATGTTCAAGCAGTAAATCGAACGAAACATGGAAGTCTACGTGGACAACATGCTAGTGAAAAGTTGGAAGACTGAAGATCACCTGGCAGACTTACGGGAAACCTTCGAAGTATTGAGGAAGCATAAGATGAAACTCAACCCCAGCAAGTGTGCTTTCGAAGTTGCCTCAGGGAAATTCCTTGGGTATATGGTGAGCAGAAGAGGAATAGAGGCTAATTCATAAAAGATCTAAGTTGTTCTGGATATGAGGTCACCCAAATCCACGAAAGATCTCCAGTGACTCACGGGGAAGATTACTGCCCTGGGTAGGCTGATTTCTCGAGCAATCGACAGATGTTTACCTCCCTTCCGTACCCTCAAAAAAACGTTTGAATGGACACCAGAATGTGAGCAGGCATTTCTACAATTAAAAGAATACCTTTCCTCACCACCACTTCTGTCAAGACCAATACTAGGGAGGACTTGTATTTGTACTTGGCTGTCTCCTCATCAGCAGTAAGTTCAGCTTTAATACGAGAGGAGGATGGGGTTCAGAAGCCGGTGTATTACACAAGTCGGGTACTTAGGGGTGCTGAGGAAAGATAGCCGAAAATGGAAAAAGTAGCATTTGCCTTGGTCGTGTTAGCTAAGAAACTCAGGCCTTATTTCTTAGCTCACAAGATAGTGGTAGTAACAGACCAACCTCTAAGATGGGTTCTCCACAAGCTAGAGACTTCAGGTCGACTTATGAAGTGATCAATAGAACTTGAGGAGTTTGACATCCAGTATAGACCCCGGACTGCAATAAAAGCTCAAGTGATAGCAGATTTTGTTGCTGAGTTCACACCTTCCCAAGAGGACCAAATTAACATTTCCCCAGAAGCAAACCCTCAGATTCAAACAGACAAAAAAGCTACTTGGACTCTGTTTGTTGATGGGTCATCAAATGCACATGCTAGTGGAGCAGGGTTGATCATCACCTCCCCAGACGGAAAAAACATTACCCATACCCTTCGGTTTGGCTTCAAAGCAACAAATAATGAAGCAGAATATGAGGCCTTCATAGCTGGGTTAAAACTGGCAGAAGTCCTTGGGGCGGAGCAGCTCATAGCATACACAGATTCTCAGTTGATAGCAGGGCAAATCCGAGCTAAATATGAAAATAGTGAGAATTTATATGACGATCCTGACTTTCGACAAGCAAAAATTCAAGAACGGGGGGCAACTGATGAGGAAATCAACAAAAGAGGCTGAATAAACGGATAAGATGATAAGGTGATGAGGTGATAAAATTCGAAAGGTTGTTTTGATCTGATTATATGAAATTCAAATTACCGACAAAACCTCTCCTTAAAGATTGCAACAAACACTCGGCTCAGTTACCTATAAAAAATAGACTCCTATCAGCTAATGAGGTACGGGCAATATTGAACTCCACTTCATGAATTGCTTATTTGATTTTCGTCTGTAAACTGACTTAGCCATCAAAGTTTGTTTGGCAGGCACCACACCGGTGTCAAGAGAAAACGTTGTCGTTTCGGATCGTTGCAGACAAATCTTTATCAGTAGGGATTCGGGAGGTAAGTTTTTGAAGTCTCATATCTTGCTTTCAAATCACACTCTTAACTTGAATGGTGCATGTATTGTGAAATTATACACGTGCTCTAACAAAAAAATAAATGAATAAAGAGAATCTCTAAATTTGGCAACAACAAACAAACTGTGAACCTGACACATATCATAGCTCATTAACAAATAAAGAATTGTTTGTTTGTTTGTTTGTTTTTTTTTTTTTTTTTTTTTTTTTTTTAGGGTTAAAACAAATAAAGAATTGTGATGTAGAGTCATTCCTCTGATGACGTGGTCATTTAAAATAATATATATAAGCACAAATATGCTGGCGATTAACTACCAAACTAAAATTACTTTCCTTGTCTCTCCATTCCTCAATTTCTACAGAACAAAAACAGTTTGGTAACAGTTTTTGTTTCTTTCCCTTTTTTTTCTGCTCTATTTTTCTTTTTTTGCTAATGAAGAAATGAAACAGTTTATGCTAAATTATGAATGTGATTATGGGGTTATAAACATCAAAATCTTTAGAAGTGTTCAAAAGACGATCCGAGGTGGTGCTGCTGGAAGAGGTGGTGGTGAAAATGTCGAACGAAAGTCCGACAATATTGATCAACAAAACTGACACCAATATGGTCTGTTACACACCAGATTTGATAGTGCTAGATGGAAATATATGGACGGGACAGAACCCATTGGACTACGCTATCCCTCTCTTCATCTTGCAATTAGTTCTGGTTCTCGGCACCACTCGCCTTGTTTCTTTTGTCCTCAAACCCTTTCATCAACCTCGTGTTATTTCCGAGATCATTGTAAGCTAGAATGTCTCTTAGAATATTTCTTAATTAGCACGGTATTATAGCAAAACACTCTTAATGACGAGCATATCGTTTATTGACATGGCTAAATTGTTACAGGGTGGCTGGATCTTGGGTCCATCAATACTGGGACAGAGCAATAAGTTTGCGCGCGTAGTATTTCCCATGAGAAGTTTTATGTTGTTTGAGACGATGGCCAATATTGGTGTAGTTTACTACCTATTCTTAGTTGGAGTAAAGATGGACCTCTCAGCTATCAAACAGAATGGGAAAAAGGCCTTGTCCATTTCCATTGCTGGTATGCTTTTGCCCTTCCTCGTAGGCTGCTCCTTCTCCTTGCTTCTGTTCAAGAAAACACCGTTCATGGACAACGGAACCTCCATCATCTTCCTCGCTGCTGCTCTCTCTGTCACTGCATTCCCCGTGGTTGCTCGAATCCTTTCAGAGCTTAACATCCAAAATGGAGAGATTCGCGATATTGCCATGTCATGCGCTCTTATCAACGACATATTTGCTTGGGTTCTCTTAGCTTTAGCCATTGATTTGGCTGAGAGAAATGCTCCTACCTTCACTTTTCTCTGGGTGATCTTCGCTAACGTAGGATTCGTTGCTTTCTACGTTTTTGTGGTCCGGCCAGCATTGTCCTGGTTCATAAGACAAACCCCAGAGGGAGAACCCTTCACCGAGTTCTCTAAATCTGTCGTTCTTGCAGGGGTAATGATTTCTGGTTTCATTACAGATGCCATCGGAACTTATTCTGCGTTCGGAGCTTTTGTTTTCGGCCTTATTATACCCAATGGAGCTCTTGGAATCACTCTTGTAGAAAAGCTTGAAGACATTGTTTCAGGGCTTTTGCTCCCCCTCTTCTTTGCTCATAGTGGGTTTAAGATGGATATTAGGAAAATTGGGGGACCCTTTGACTGGGTGATGCTAATTGTTATACTTTTTATAGCATGTGCTGGTAAAGTCCTTGGAACTCTCCTTGTTGCCCTCTACTACAAGATGCCTTTTCTTGAAGCACTTACTCTTGGTTTTCTTATGAATGCCAAAGGTCTTGTTGAAATAGTTGCCCTCGCAGTTGGGAAAGAACAGCGTGTACTACTCTCTCTCTCTCTCTTTCTTTCTATCTATCTATCTATCTATCTATCTATCTATCTATATTGCTGTGTGTGTGTGACACTTATAGAGCATATATGCATTATTGTGCAGATTATAAAGGGGTCAACATATGCAATTGTGATCATGTCATCAGTAATTATGACCGGAATCATCACACCACTTGTTAGCAGAATTTATAGGCCACCAAAGAAATTTGTTGCGTCATACAAATGGAGAACAATTCAAACAACAAGGACAGATGCTGAGCTACGAATCATAGCGTGCATTCACAGCCCTCGTAATGTCCCAACAATCATCAACCTACTCCAAGCTTCCCATCCCAACAAGAATTCTCCATTATGTATCTTCGTGCTCCACCTGGTTGAACTCACCGTCCATTCGTCTGCTTCAAATATTCTCCTTCACACTCACAAACGTCCTAGCCAACCGGTTGCCAATAGGACACAGGCTCACACCGACCACATCATCAGTGCATTTGAGACATTTGAGCAGAATGCTGTTTATGTAACTTCAGAATGTCTCACAGCCATTTCCCCTTACTCCACCGCGCACGAACACATCTCCAACTTGGCAGAGGACAGGCGCTCGGCTTTCATCATCATTCCTTTTCATAAACAGCAAACTGTTGGTGGCGATATGGAAGTCATTAACCCTGCGTTTCAAATATTGAACCAGAATATGCTAGCAAATGCGCCCTGCTCAGTTGGCATTCTGGTTGACAGAGGCCTAAGTGCCTCCGCTAACTTGGCTACCAATCAAGAATATTCTCATCACATCGCTATGCTCTTTTTTGGTGGACCGGATGATAGAGAGGCATTATCATACACATTGAGGATGTCAAAAAATCCCAGGAATAGCGTCAGTATTATTCGATTCCTTCCAGGGGAAAGTGTAGTAGTGGAGCCAAGCTGCTGCAATACCAATGATCCTCAAATTGATCCAACTTTGGGAACAAAAAGCAAGAGAGCTGAGAAGAGGCTCGATGATGCTCACATAAACGAGTTTAGGATGACAATGGCAAAAGACGATGAGTCATTTGAATACACAGAAAGGGTGTTGAACAGTGCAGACGAGACAATTCAAGAAATACGGTCACTGGACAAAATTTCTGACCTCTTCATAGTTGGTAGAGGACAAGGAGTGATATCACCGCTCACGGAAGGGATTCTGGAATGGAGTGAGTGCCCGGAGCTTGGTCCAATCGGGGACTTTTTGTCATCGACAGATGCTCCATTTGAAGCTTCAGTGCTGGTGGTACAACAGTATGTTGGAGTAAGGCCACAGGAGGAGGAAGAGGTTGGAACACCCAACAGTCAGGATCATCAGCTTGAAGAGCCAAATTTAGAAAACCAGATGAATAGGTGGACAATGAGGTAGACATTTTTTAGTTAATCAAACTGAAAACTAGCCATTCTTAGACCTCACAAACTCCTAAAGCTAACAGCAGTAGCAGCACTTAAAAGCTGAATCAGAAAATTTAGGCTTTTTTTCCTGGTCTTGCATATAGTGGTGTTCTTTTATGTAATTTGAAATTATTTAAGTATGATATATCTACAGGGAAACTTAATGAACAAAGAACAAATTTGAATCCCATAAAGGTTAGAGAAACTTTGTAAAAAATCTGATAAATATTATTCATAATTGAATGACTATTATATGAATATTTTGCCCTCTACTATTTATAATATAAAAAATAAAAAAAATAAATAAATAAATAAATCTAAAACAAATGGAATATGAAAAATAGTAGAATTTGAAATTATCTCCAAAATTTATGAAAAAAATAAATATAACATCATAATCATTAAAATAAGATAACTATCAAACTTCAGAAAAATTTGACTTTGTGTAGGAGTCCAATAAAAATTTTGACATTCTGACAGTATATAGAATGAATAGGTCTTCTCGGGTTGAAATAATGTGAATAAAACTGTCTTATCAGATATGCCCAACAAAATGTCTTATGTCAGATACGCCCAACAAAATGTCAATAAAACTGTCTTATATCATATACGCCCAACAAAATATAACAACTACCATATTAAGTCCCTTTCAACAACAATTGATGCAATAATCTAATTGGTTCAATTTTATGATGATAGAAAACAAAAAAATGTTTTCAGCGAATTATAAAAGATATATAATTATATAAAAATAGCATGTTTTATTATTAACTTTTCAGAAAAACACTTCTAAAAAATCTGTTTACCAAATAAAATTTGTACTACTTTACGATTTTTAATTATGTGAAAACAAGAAAATTGTACTCAGAAAATTAAAATGACCAAATAGGCCAGCCCTGTGAGTATTTATTTTGATGTGGGACTCCTAATCCCAATAGAAAGTTGGAACCACACAACATAGAAGTCGAGCAGATTGCGACTCATAAATAAGATGATGATGTTTTATGTCTCCTATTCTCGTTGAAAAAGTAAAAGAGAATAAACTTCCTACTTGAATGCTGCTACTAATCCCTATAAAAGGGCGAGAGAGGTCAAACTAAAAGGTACACACAAAAGACACTAGAAAATAAATCTCATTTCTATCTATCTCCGATTCAATTCTAATTTGATCATGGGAGGCCCTTAGGCTGACACCACACCGATGCTTCTGTAACAACCCGAACTCGGGGGTCCGAATCATTATCCGAGTCTTTAACCGAACCCGAGGTCATCTAAGGGCAACACGATCGATCATTTCCAAGGTCAAAATGAAATTAATACACCATACTAGTCTTTATAGTGCACATTGGCATCATTGAATAGGTTGAGACTGGGAAAATGGGAAAAAGAAGAGAAAAATGAAGGGCACAAAACTCGGTCGACGTGTGCAAGCTACACGTCAATCGAGTCAGGCAACTCCGTTGACGTCTAGTCCTTAAACGTCGACTGGTTTGTCCCTATATAGTGAAAATGGCTCTTGCCCAACAAATGGAGATACCGGTCGACGCGGGCCCTCCACCTTTCGGCGCGAGAAGTTCAGTGCTTGATGAGGCTAGAATCCCGGCTACTTAGTGAAAAGGGGTTGTTATCTACCTTTATCAAGAATGAAAGCTTTCAATGCACTACTAACCCAATTGGGATATAACCAATTCAATAATCAACAAAGCATGTACCCCACAAATGAATGCTAGTGTACACCGGTGCTAGTTTAGAAGATTAGAGTGAATCTCAAAATAATCACAAAATCAAGATGATGTGGACCACAAATGCAAGCAAGATATCAATTTTTCAAAAAATTTTACTCCTAAATGGCTTCCACAAGGCATACAAGGAGTATTGGCCTCTCAAGTCAAGCAATTTTTAAATTTTAAGCAATATAGTCCTCAAAAGATCAAAATCATAGCTAGATATGGACTAATTATAGAAATATCTCTCAAATACACAAATCATGCTAAAAATTTAAATTTAAAACTAACACTATAGAGCACCATTCCCCCCAAACTTAAATTGCACAATGTCCTCAATGTGCAAAGAGAACAAAGGAAAGAGTATATCAGTGCAACTAAGCAAGAATGATCGGGACTGAAGTATCCGTAATGGGTGGCATGGCCCCCTCAAACTTGGGATGAAGTGTGGTCCTGAAAATTGGCACTTAGATAAACTTATCAGATAACAAAATAGGATAATCAGTGCATAGTGGACATGCAAGTGTAAATGGGATAAACAGATAAAGAAATCGGAGAGGTATAAGGGTGGTCTTGGAAATTGGGTAGCACTCTCTCACTGAAGTCATTGTGATGTACCTGATGGAGTCAAACATACAGATATGAGAATACAATCATATGACATCCATAGCAAAAATAGATATATAAAATAGAGAAAGTGTAGGTATAACAAAAATATCAAAATCGACAGACCGGCTGTAAAAATAATACAGTAACAATAATAAAGTATCAAAAGGAGAGAGGGATCATAAGATAGAAAAGACTGGGAGCTCAGGAAGATGAGGTAGGACGAGCAGGTCTGGCTCCGCGGATGTCTCTGGATAAATCTCTGAACATGGTCGCGACATCCGTGCGGAAGGTAGCAAACTCAGCTCTGTGGGTTTTGAGGTCAGCTCGGATGGTAACAACAGCATCCTCGAGCGTCTGCAGACGTACTCCAAAGCCGGGGGTATATCTGGAGTCTTAGGCATAGATGAATCAGAAGAAAGCTCCTGAGTCTGCTCCTGCTCATGAATGGGTGACCTGGCTGGAGAGTCCTGCTCTGTATCGTCTGCAGGGCGCTCTAAGTCGATGTCTAAATGCTCAGCAGCTGGATCGACTGGTGCGTCGTCCGCTGCGGGATGTGCTGCTATTGCCTCTGTCGATGCCTCTACCTGGGCCTGTGCTACCGCCTCCTCCTCTAACTCCAGCTCTGCAGCTGCCAGTACGGCATGGACCTGCAGGCGAGTGATAATAGCTCTGTAGCTCTTATCCCAATCCTTCTTGAGGAAGTACAGGAACCTCTCTCGGGGTGCTCCTGCGGGTGGATGGGATAGCGCTGGTCAATGAGAATCTGGGTGATGAGGTGGCTGAATGGAAGAGACTTGGCCCTTCCGTGTGTCTCCTTGCTGATGTACTCATCGTAGAGCTTCCTCATCATGCTCCAGATAAGCGCAGGAATAGACACCCAGTGGCCGGTATAGAAGGCGTACAGGGCTGCTAAATAGTCGCCCCGCCTATGAATCTTGTGTCCCGCCATGTATATGTTTCGGTAGAGCACCGAATCTATAAACCACAGGTCATCGAGCAAGAATGTCCGAGTGGCGAAGGTCTCACCACCGGCATGGTGACCTGTAAGAAAAATCGCCATATCAACGTAAGAAGGCCTGTGGAACCTAGGATATGTCTCCTGTAGCTCTAGCGGGCACCGATGTGGACAGCGAGTCGAACGGGCCAGAGTATCCACTGTAATGGTGATCTCATGGCCATCGATAGAGGTGATGAGCTCGGCTATAGTGCACGGCGACGGTCGGAGGTTCTGGTAGAACAACCGTACCAGTCGTGGGTAGATCGGCTCTGTGACTGGAGCAAGAATAGCTGAGAGGCCCCGCTGAATGATGTCCTGATGGGCAGATCAAGTCAGCACCAATCTGGAGAAGAATGCAGTGTCGAATGCTGACTCATGCTCGATAGTCATGTGTGCATATCGAAGCGTGAGTCTGTCATGCTGTAGATAAGCTGGCTGAACAGGTGGAGCCGGCTGAGCTGGCTGTTCAGCGCCTCTATGCGGTGGAGATGGTGATGGAGTGAATGCTGGATAAGCCGGTGTGACGACCCTGGTTTTTAGGCCAGCGTGCCCTGTGATGAACCGTAAGGATGATCCGATAACGGATCCGAATGCGGAAACGAAAACAGAAAACAAGACTCTAAGAAGTCAAAGTGACCTTCCATGAGGTCGTGGAACTCAACAAGAACTGATGCGGAAGCAAAAGATCAAAAATATGACAAATAAGCCCCAGGGGCAATATAGTCATTTTTGAATATTGTAGATTCAGGTGCCATCGAGCACACCGCTGGAAGGACTATGAAAAAATAATCAAGATGGACTCAAGAATCGCATGATTTGGAGTTCGGACGAAGGAGAAACGGCATGACGACGAAAAACGGACACTTAAAGCTTTAAGGGCAAACTGGTAATTATCTAGAAAAATTTGGGTGTAACCGAGCACACCGTTGGATAAACGACGAAAAATTAATCAAGTTCAAAAAAAAATTCACTTGAATCGGAATCCGGACGAAGGAGAAAATCCCAAAAGAAGATTTGACGTCGCAGCGGCCCGACGAGAGGCAATGACAGCCCCCATGCGCGCCCATGCGCACGTCCATGCACGTCGCGTGCGCACTGGGCGCACACACGGCTGCCAGCAGCCCAAAAGCTGCTATGTGCTTTTTTTTAAAAGAAAACCAGAACAGAGGCCGAATTTGGAAGCCTAAATGAATTTTTTTACAAAAACACAAAGAAGAAACCCCCTTCAAAATTGAGTTTTCTAAATGAATCACGAGAGAATTAAAAAAAAAAAACGCAATGTAAAATGCCCAAAATGCCCTCCCAAGAAATCTAGTCCAGAGGGTCGAAAAAGCTGCTAAATAGTAAACTGAAAGCTGAACTTCGTAAGCGATTTCCAATGCCAAGACGACATTTTCTGGAAAAACACAAAAAAGAAACCCCCCCCCCCCCCCCCAAAATCATGTTTTCTATTCAACTATGCTGAAAGAAGAAAATAAAACCACCGTGAAAAGTCTAGAATACCCCTATATCAGAATATCCAACGAAAACGCAAAATGAAATCGTAGGAGGCTCAAAACACAAACGATGAGGTTTTGCCCAGAAACGACTATGCATGCAAACGTAACTTACCTATTTAGACGCGCTACAATAGTCCATGGCTTA